AGAGAAGCTGTATTTGGTCTCGTAAAACAAGATTTTTCTTAGACATTTTATGTCATTTGAAGAATGTTATTATTAATATAGCCTAACTACGTGACATTGATATTTGAGGCTGTTTGATAGCAAAGGTACAATTAATTAATTATTAATATAATATTCTCCTTATTTAGGCCTACTACACTTACAATTTTAAAATTATACGTCAGTTTTAAGATTTTGTTGCGTTATAATAAAATTGTACAATAGATGTATGTACAGGATTTTGTCATCAGGGTTCAAATCTGGATATTTTATTTCTTTACTAATAATTACTTTAAAGGAGAATTGCCTATATTATCTGCCCCCTTACTGTACCACATATCAACTCAATCAGTTAAGTAGTTTGTGCTTGGAGAGCAACAAGAAAATACACAAACTGATAAACTTTAGATTTTTAATATTATAAGAAGTGTTTGGGAGTTTGAGAGTTACATAATCCTAAAGTGGCAACAATCCCTTATAATAATTCCAGTTATTGTCAAAAACTCATTTATAGATGAGCATAAATGGAAAATTATTATTCCATATATGAGTAATTTAATTGCATACCTGGGAGTCATATATGACCATATATAGACCATAATTCCATATATGGAGGATATTTATGGCCATATATGGGCAATATTTTCATATATAAAAAACATGTATGGCCATATATGAACAATAATTTCATATGTAGAAAACATGTATGGCCATATATGGGCAATAATTTCATATATAGAAAACATGTATGGCCATATATGAACAATTATTTCATATATAGAAAACATGTATGGCCATATATGAACAATTATTTCATATATAGAAAACATGTATGGCCATATAAGAACAATTATTTCATATATCGAAAACATGTATGGCCATATATGAACAATAATTCCATATATATACTACATATATGGCCATATATGGACACCACCATATATGGATACAACCACATCTGGCCATATATGCTTCCATATATGCTCATCAAAACCCATATATGGCTTTATAAAACCATATATGGAATTTTGATATGGCCATATATGGCCAGAAATTACTTTTTTATAGGGGAAATTAGAAAAACCCATTTTTACCCCATAAAACCCCCCATAAACCCCTGTTCCCATAGTCCGATCATGCTGGTTCGCGAACTCGTTTGAATAAATGTAGGTTTACACGTTTATACCAAATTTCATCAAAATCGGATGATTTTTGCTCGAGTTATCGCGCTAACGGACACATATACAGGGTGTTCATTTGAAAACTTTCCATATCTGTTGTGTGCAAAGGTAAGGCTTTTAACACTTATTTGTTCTCATTTCCCCCTAATTTGGACATGCCAAATCCAATAAAATTATTTTCAATTTTAAAAAATGCCCCAAAAGGGCCCAATTTGGGGGGTAGGGGTGTTTTTTGAGAAATTTTCAAATGTAAACATGGGTTGTGTGATACATCAATTTAAAGGTCTAATCACCCCGATCATTTTGGTGAAAAAAAAGTTTAATTATCTTTAACCGTATTTACAGGGTGGGTCAAAACGTTTTAAAAAAGGACTTTGAAGTTAAGTACCGTATTACCCTAACTACTGAACGGAACAGCGCCAAATTTCTTTCATAGCTTATTCTTGAGCTACTCTTTAAGATAACTTGTAGTAAGGGCATTTTCCATGTTATTTTCTAATTTTAAAAAAATCTCAAATTTTAAGAATAAAAGAAAGCTGAAAACTCAAAATTCTTAAGTAGCAAGGTATAAAAATTTTCATACCACGTGAAAGGTCCTTTTTTAACAAACATTTTACGTATTTAAGTTTTCTTTCTATCTCTTACCGTTTAAAAATTGCAGTAGAAAAACATAATTTTCTATGGTAAAATTGTAACTAGTTTTCTAATAAAACAGCCAAAATTCGTCTCTAGACACATTAAATGGTGCAATAACTGAAGGAAACAATTCATAATTATTTTTAGGCAGATATGCAAACAAGTCATTACGTTTTACTTTGTGAAAAACAAGTTTTATAGCTGATGAGAAAAACCCAAGCGTGGGCCGCTTTCTGTAGTACCATTGACTAGTCAATGGTAGTACTAATTTCAAAAGTACCATTTCCTGTAGTACCTAATCAAATAAGGCGTAAAATTAAAAAAATAGACTTTATTTTTACTTATTGGTCATAACAAAAGTGTTCCAGGATAACTGTAAAGTGTTTAACAATAGATATCCAGGTATAACCTTGAGTCATATGCCTGTAAATGATTTAGTTAGGAAGTTTTCTGAAACTGGCTCAGTTACCAATGAGAAAAGATCAGGATGAAGGGTCCAAGATGAATTCTGACCCACGTAAAAATAGTCGATCAATTTGTTATGAATCATACTACATCGTTGAACAAAGTGCAATGTGTTTTATTAGAAAACTAGTTATAATTTTACCATAGAAAAATATGTTTTTCCACTGCAATTTTTAAACGGTAAGAGATAGAAAGAAAACTTAAATACGTAAAATGTTTGTTAAAAAAGGACCTTTCTTGTGGTATGAAATTTGTGATACATTGCTATTTAAGAATTTTGAGTTTTCAGCTTTCTTTTATTCTTCAAATTTGAGATTTTTTTAAAATTGGAAAATAACTTGGAAAGAACTCAAGAATAAGCTATGAAAGAAATTTGGCACTGTTCCGTTCAGTATTTAGGGTAATACGGTACTTAACTTCAAAGTCCTTTTTTAAAACGTTTTGACCCACCCTGTAAATACGGTTAAAGATAATTAAACTTTTTTTTCACCAAAATGATCGGGGTGATTAGACCTTTAAATTGATGTATCACACAACCCATGTTTACATTTGAAAATTTCTCAAAAAACACCCCTACCCCCCAAATTGGGCCCTTTTGGGGCATTTTTCAAAATTGAAAATAATTTTATTGGATTTGGCATGTCCAAATTAGGGGGAAATGAGAACAAACAAGTGTTAAAAGCCTTACCTTTGCACACAACAGATATGGAAAGTTTTCAAATGAACACCCTGTATAAATATATATATATATATATTATTATTTTCTTGCATTTTTAGGGCTACTAATATAATAAAATTAAAACATATATAACAAAGTACCCTTTTAGTAATTATTTTATTTTTCATGACGACATGTTTCGGAACTAAGTCCATTGTCAAGTCATTTTTACCATAACCTCATTTTTTTTTTTTTTTTTTTTTTTTTGAAAAAAATGAGGTTATGGTAAAAATTACTTGACAATGGACTTAGTTCCAAAACATGTCGTCATGAAAAATAAAATAATTACTAAAAGGGTACTTTGTTATATATGTTTTAATTTTAATATATATATATATATATATATAATATATGAATTTGAACGGATGGTGTTTTTGGCTTCTGGGGACCTCAAAACGAAAAACTAAATCGGTCCCGGGTCCAGGTCTTACCATGAGACCTATGGTAATAGCTTATTCCCTATATGGGAAATTCGCTAATATGATGGTATTCAAAAAGCTAAAAAAAATCAGGCATCAGAGTCGGAAATTCGGTTTTATTGTGCATACCGTTTCAATTCAGTGCATGGTCTAAAACAACAGTTTTTGTGATTTAAGTCTCCATACCCCTTTTTCATACGCGGGGGGGGGGGAGGGGGGTAGGCCTACTAATGATTTTTCAAACCATGTACAGTCCTCGGGAAGTCTTAGCTGACATCAGCATCTTTGGATGACTTGGAATAAACTAAAGCAATTGTTTTTGATCGTGGAACTTGTAAAATTTAATGGTACTGGTTGAATAATTGTTCCTGATTTTGAAAATTCATGGTCCATAGGAGAAATCCATGCATAATCCATGCCTTTTTTCATGGTCACAAGAATTCATGCATAATTCAAGCTTTTCAAGGTTTTCATGGCTGGTGGCAACCCTGTAATATTTTATAGCACAGCTTATATTATGTGCAGCAGATATTCATTTTCAGTTCCTCATCCCTACCAATGTAGTTGCAATGATGTTTAGTAGGACTGCTGAGGAAAAATAGTATGTTTATCTACAAAGTACAAAGCACATGGAGAACATAAAGCTTGCAGAGGTCATTCCCAAATTCCAACACCTGCGATCCTCCTTGGTTGTCAGGAAGTTACAGGATCAGCTTTAGAACACTTCATTCATTTCATTAGCTTTGCAGCACATTCAACGCCACAATCACATGGAAGGTTCATTACAGATGAAGCCCTGATGATGCATGCTGGAGAATTTCTGTTTGCAGAATCACTCTCAAGAGCAAATAATAATCTCACTTATAGGCCACACTGACCAAATCCCTTTATAAACAAAACAGTAAAATTGGAGATACAATTTCACTAAATCTCAGGAACAACCACAGCAACTTATATTTTAATTATAGCCTATCTTAGATGCAGAAAAAGCACTTAATCACTCCTCTCAAAATACCGCACCCAAGGAATGAAAACTTCAACCAATACTGGAAATGGGCTGAAAATCCTTAACAATGAGGAGCTAGAAAACCATAAAATACACAATAAGAAATGCTTAGATTTAACATCTGAAAAGCTGGAAAAGCAAGAACCAAATTTTTTTTGGTCATCATTAGCTATGTCAAATAACGTCATCGCACGTGCCTCCTGTGATAATACTGGCAGCTGTTTTATTTGTTAATCATATTTTTGTCGTTTATTTGTGTTGTGTGTACCGTTCTACCATTCTTCTACCAACTATCATTCTTAAATGGTATTAATGGATCCAACCAAATATACATGATGATCAGATATTTTTGTCACACCTCATGGACTTCAACAGGCTGAAACTACTAACAAAGGATAACTTGGCAATTTAAAAAATTTAGCTTAAATTCAGTGATCCAGGGCTATTAAGTACTATGACAACAAATTAACTGTCAGCATTTTCTACTTAAACACTGGGCCAAGATAAACTTAAAGGTAGGCCACAATCTGATGAAATGGAAGTATCTAAGAACCTACCTCTTTGTTATTGTGGAATTGTTGTATAAGGCGCTTTTTGAAAAACATTCTTCCATCTTTATTTCCACACTCTTCGTTTTGAAGACAATTACTACACTGACCACAACAAAAATCTCGCTTTCTCTCGTAGGCTGAAATGAACAGATTATTAAATTTTCTTGCCCTGATATTCTTGAAATTCTTTGTACTGTTTTTAACATAGGCTACTGACTAAAAAAACACCGTGGGAGGAAAAACATGAATTCTGAGGTTAATAATTTTCATACTGATCTGTAGTCGAACAGTTTTAACCTCAATAGTTAAGGTATCTTAGACCTTTTTCTGATCAATGGCCAAGAGGTCTCTGGCCAGAAGGCTGATTATTAGATTTTAGTGAATTTTCCAAATAGGGAATAAGCTAATTACCGTAGGCCTCATGGTAAGACATAGACCCGGGACCCATTTACTTTTTTGTTTTGAGGTCCCCATAGGAGGAAAACACCACCCCTTCAAATATATATATTTGAATTTCCGTCATAATATACAGGTGGAAAAAAAGTCCCGGGACAGTTTTAAATATTTCAAAAAGTGATAAAGATATAGCTTTAAAACTTGATACACAGTTCCGGGGCAATAACATCTTTTTAACACATTATTTAGCTATACACTACCTCCTCAGGGGACGGTCCGCTAGGAGTCAGAAGAAAATCTTAAATGTAAGCATAGGTTGATATGCACATCAAATTAAAGGTCTTTGATAGTAAAATACAATGACTCAAATCCGAACTCAAACGGTCTATCGAGCCAAAAATGGCAGCCGTTTAAAGATTTCTTAAATATGCCATTTTGAATCTTTGAGCGGCTGCCATTTTTTTTTCAGTGGTTCTTTTGAGCTAAAATTTGCGGCATTGTATTTTACTAATAAAGACCTTTAATTCGATGTGCATATCGACCTATGGATAGGCTACGTCTTTGATTTTCTTCTGACTTCTAGCGGGCCGTCCCTCTGAGAAGGTATGTGTATAACAATGCAAATTCAATGCATCTTAGAATATCCATGTAAAAAAAATTGCCAGTAGTTAAATTTGCATAACTGAATTATGTATTTTTATTTTCTTTAATTTATCAAAATTCTCTTACTAAACAGTTCAGTAAGCCTGTAGGAGTAATTTCAAGTAACTTAAATGGAAAGTATATTTTTATAAACCCTTTGGACTTACATGTTGTCACAACGTTCTGCTGAATATTCTTAATTTCATTTTCTTTATTTTTCTTGGGAAATGATTTTGTAATTTTCTTGTTTGGCTTTGTGGTTTTCTTGTGTGATTTTTTAGTTTTGGTCTCTGTGAAAAACACAACTTTTAAGTTGTATGTTCTACAGCAATCCTGGAAAAAGAAAGGGTATTTTGAAATCACTATGACCTTCCTTAATAAACACAATTGTGTAAACTGCAAAGTTACTTTAAACACTTATATAAAAAAAGAACTTATTTAACTTAAACTAGCTGTTACCCACCGGCTTCCCCCGTTTGACTTTATAAGTATTAATAAAATTATTGATTGGTTAAAAAAGTTAAGGTGAAATAAACAAAACAGAATTCAGTACCGGTACGGTAATACAAACAAATAAGTACAGCTGAGGTATTTTTAACATTAGGTAGCCTACATGGAAAGTTCCCTTTAGAATAGAATTACGACCTTAAAGGGCAATTTATGAAATAATGGATAGTTTTGCGCAAGGTTTCTCGTCATAACGAAAATTTCAAGTACCTATAGGGTTTATGGGGGTGTGACTTGTAGTTTTCTGAAAAGTTCATGGGTACTTTGGGCTCTATATATACAGTAGATACAATGAAAACATATGGATTCTACCTCAAAATAAAAGGTTAGTGAGTAGGAGTCAGGGGAAACGTTTGGCGACAAATATAGGGGAAACGTTTGGCGACAAATATAATCAGAATCACCTATAGATTGGGTGTATCCACGATTATTTTAATAAATTAGTTGATTTATTTATTTCCAAATCAGGAAAGAGTTTTAAAAGTTTTATTCTAAATCATAACAGCACTTAACAGAATAACAATGGATGATGTGTTTATATGATGTGTTTAAGGTGAATAATATTTAAAATCGGTGTGAATTTGCTTCAACCCCAAGAACCTATCCTTTGGATATTGTGGTGAGCAACAGCTCAATCAAATTAAAACATGTGCCAATAAAAGTTTGGGCAAATCCAGTGTATTTGGCAAAAAGAATTTGACATTTAACTACTTACGGTCTGTGATGGATTAATTAAGTATACTTACAAAGCAATACCACTTCTTTATCTGTTGGGCGTCCGCTTCATCAAGACCAATACACTCGCCATGAAACCACCCATCACACTTTTCACAACCTCTGAAATCATTCTTGAAAATATCAACAATCTTGATCTTGAATTGAGATCAGCTGTTTGCTACCTATTGTTAATATTTTAATTTGTTTATAATTTGGATCATATTTATTGGTTACTAGTGCACCTGTTGTTCGAATTCGAGCAATTGCAAAGTATTCCAGGAGTTATTTCAAAATGAATAACAGTCATAATTTCTGATTACTCAAAAGAGTCAACTCAAAAATAATGTAATCAATCACTCCACTACAGTTATCTGAAAAGGAACACTTTTGTGTGTATCATGTGTTTACTATGAACAGCTGTAATTAATACAAATTAATTGTCTGTTAGACAAAGTATTTTCTCCATAAGATTTTGATAGCCTGTGGGGCAAAGCCTGAGAAATTTTAATTGTTGAGTTGGTAAAAGGGGGCGTCTACACAAAAAATACTTAATTTTGACACATTGTTTGTAAAAATCCGTCCATTATTAACGGAGGGGTAGTGTTTCGTAGAAATCGCCTTCACGTATTATATATAAGGATTCCAGTTGTCATTGCAAAAAAATCACTAGGTTACTCAGTATTTTTGTTCTGATGTGAATGTTGTAGGCATACTTTTATTTTATTTTTGTGTGTTTTTCTGCCAGTGGCATTTTTTTTTTACGTTTTGAAAGGGAACGGTCCAAACCCTGGTCTTGTTACTATCTAACATCAACCTTTTTGTTAGATAGCATCATTAATTCATAGCCCAATGACAAATGAAATCTAGGTCTGGAAATGATCTTGCATGGATTCGAACCAACAACCTTCAAATTTGAAGGCGATCACAATCACCACTCGGCTACCCAGACAATTAAAGTAAAAGCATTAAAATACTGTCATTTAATTAACCTAATTGTTTCAATTTCCATGTTCAATTAATTACTGTACAGTACCGTATTCACAAGGTGATTCGTGAGATGTTCCTTCCCCCGTAAAATGTTTGAAAAAGTTAGCCTTCCATAACACAATTTTAATGCAGTCTTTGATATTAAATATCATAACAAGGTTATGTTGATAACCTCTTTAAATCTTGGTAGAAATAAATAAATAATATTTAAAACAAAAACTTAATAAAGAAAGGAAGGCTACATTTTTCCATTTCTCTTCTGCTCATTCCGTTATGTTCAATGTTGATTCATTATAAATACGGATGATTTTTTCCCTAATAAATAAAACATATATGTAATAAAAAGGCTAAAATAATAAAAACGGTAATAATCAAAACCATATAAGGTAACATTTGATACATTTTACAGTTTTTCAGATAGTAATTTAAGGTGAGTAACGGTATTGTTTTTTTTTTTAAACCAAACAAAACAATTTAAAATAGTTATGTTTAATTCATAGTAAAATCACAAAATAAAAATACACATAACCTACGGTAAGTTTAACTTGTTTATAAGTGATCAGTCTTATTCCCAGTTCTCAATTATTGCCATACATCTGCTTTTCTTTTGGGAAAAACAGTATTACTTTATCAACATCATTGTCCCTGTTTTTTAATATAAGTTATTGGCTAAAGCTAGGCCATTGAGTCGAGATTCTCCCATCGTGCTCCTAAGGCCCCGTTTATGCACTAAGAGCGGGCCCGCTCCCACTGTGAAAATTTTGTCAAAATTGTGCAAGCGATAGCGGTAGCGGTTGGTCAAAGGTGAATGGAAGGGGGGCACAGTCTTGCCAACTCAAACTCTGCCAAATAATACAGAATACAGAATACAGAGTACTTTATTCATAAGCATCAAGCACAGAATGGTGTCAATACATTTTTTTTTTTTTTTTTACATGAACAGATTTTTAGTGTAACCGTAGATGGGGTCTTGCACGGGCCGTAAACTCCTCAAGGCTGTAAATTGGGTAGTCAGCAAGCCAATTCCGAATTCGCCTTCTCAACGTTGTAGGTGAGCCCTCTTTGACAATCTGGGGAAGAAGGTTGAAGAACCTCGCTCCAGCATACGAAGGCTTCTTCGAGAAGAGTGATGTTCTGTGGGAGGGCAGATGGAAGTCCTCGTTGTGCCTCGTATCATAACTGTGGAAGGCAACATGCTTCGACGAAGAGACCTTAATTGTGTAGGAAATTGCCTCCAAGATGTAGATCGAGACTGCGGTGAGTATGCGTAAGCTACGGAAGGTTTCTCTGCAGCTTTCTCTTGGTTGAAGACCGACCATTATTCGCATTGCTTCTTTCTGGAGCACCAAAACTCGTTCCAGGTTTTCTTGTGATGATCCACCCCAAAAGATGATCCCGTACCTGAGGTGGGATTCAAACAAAGCATGGTAGCATGTTCGATAGTTTCGGAGGTACTGACGGATCGAACCCTCCTTAAAGCAAATTTTGCAGAGCTTAGTTTTAGGCAGAGTGCGTCAACGTGTTGATTCCAAGTAAGTTTTTGGTCTAAAACGACTCCCAAATGCTTGGTAAAAGTGCACGTTTGGATGTTAGGAGGGCCAGAGACTTGGTTTTGTAGTCTTCCTATGATGAGCTGGGTAGTTTTATCTTCGTTGAAGACCAAATCATTGTTATCACAATAGTCCTGAGCCAGGTTTAGGGCGATGAAACTATCCACTTCTAATTCTTCTGCTGTCTTCTTGCAGGTCAACAGGACGGTGTCGTCAGCAAACATTACCGCTTTACAGAACGTATTAACATGGCTTGGGAAATCAGCCATAACAGTTCAACTCAACTACAGCAATAATTAACTCAACTATTTGTCCTAAGTGCAAGTGCGCGTGGGTCAAGCGTGGGGCAGTTGGCAACCCTGCCTGCAACCGCTCCCGCCGTGCATAAACAGTCTCATTTGACTCAATGTAGTTGAAAACCGCTCTATCCCAAGCAACCGCTGCGATTTCTAACTACATAGCGGTCGAATTAGAAGCCGCAGCAGGAGGTCAACCGCTACCGCTATCGCTCTTCGTGCATAAACAGCCCCATTTAACTCAATGGTGTTAGAAATCGCTCCCGCTGTCGCTACCGCTCCCGCTGTCGCTACCGCTCCCGCTGTCGCTACCGCTCCCACTGTCGCTACCGCTCCCGCTGTCGCTACCGCTCCCGCTGTCGCTACCGCTCCCGCTGTCGCTACCGCTCCCGCTGTCGCTCCCGCTACCGCTCCCGCTGTCGCTCCCGCTACCGCTCCCGCTGTCGCTGCCGCTCCCGCTGTTGCTACCGCTCCCGCTGTCGCTACCGCTATCGCTCTTCGTGCATAAACTGCCCCATTCAACTCAATGGTGTTAGAAATCGCTCCCGCTGTCGCTACCGCTCCCGCTGTCGCTACCGCTCCCGCTGTCGCTACCGCTCCCGCTCTTGGTGCATAAACGGGGCCTAAGGTAGATCTTTAATCGCCTCAAAACAGAAAAACTTCTCCCTGGCATTGCAGTGGTTACTGGCATAGTACCCAACATTTGTACTTGCACTGCTGTCAGGGGGAAAAAGAAAAGTCAAGCCTTTTGAGAGCTTTGGCAGGGGTTGACGGAATTTTCAAAACATCATCTTTCCACTTGCCTCTCCATAGCTTTATTTCCGACTTGAGTAATGTGAGTGGAGCTACACTGATAAGTGTGACTCGTATATTTTGGCTGCCTCCAGCTCAGATTGGAAGGGATTAAACCTTCCAAAGGTAGTATTTATAAAGGTATATAAGTTGAGGAGCCCAAGGCTCGTTTCATCTGGTGTGAGTTTAAGAGTCCAAGCGGGAGGGGGGCTAAAGCCTATTGGCCTAAATGGTACATCCGCCACTGATCTTAACACCACTAGCTAATAAATTAATAACTTAGGCCTACACAACAGTACCGTAGACGATGAATTTGTTTAAAATAATGGACTCATTACTCACATCATGAACTTGGATACATCTGTTGATTGGCACAAACAATAGACTGTCTGTTCTTTTTCTTGGCGTAGCTTGAGTAAAGTGTCTAACTTGGTTTTACGTTCAGGCAAGTCAAATCTCTTACAAATTTCTTCTATCTGAAAATAAATTAAAGATAAAGAAACTGCTTAGTCATTTTAGAAAGGATAAAGTTAATATATGACATGGAGACCATAGGTAAACGCTCTGGTTAAAATATGGCTAAGAAAATAACTGAGACTAAACTGATGTAATTTAGGCTCCAGGTAAGTTAGGCTACCATATTATTTAGGCTATAACTTAGTAACTTATGTGTAATACAATAAATTGTCGTGTTGAAGTAAGCATCTGATACCTTTCCAAAACAATAGATTTAATTTTAGGAATCATAAAGCTCATTAAGAATAATAATTTGGCAACATTGTCTATGATAGAAAGTCTCCTAACAATTAACGGTAGTTATCCTAAACTTAAATATAACTTACGCTGTTTTTACACAATTAGGCCTACACAATTTAAGAAGTGCATTTGAGTGAAAATTTAAAAACGTACGTTTTCATGTCCCTGGCCTTTTACTTCGTAGATACTGGATTTGTAGTTTATTATTATGTGTTTTAATATTTTTTGGGACGGGGGCAACATGTTACACACATTTATTTGGTTTTAAATAGGTTCTAGGTATTTTTTTCGTATTTTTAAAGTCTCGAAATTCACGACCATGACGTGTCCCTAGGGTACATTTTCCAACTTTCACGCTGTTTTTAGACTAATTGTTCATGCCAAAATATATAAAGCCATATTTTTATGCCATCAATGGTTATTAAACTTACAAAAAAGGAGCATATTATAATTTTATTGTCATTGCAAACTGACTACCATGACAAAATAAGTCTGTCCCTCGATTTGGCGTCACGACCATTTGGGAAAAATTTTCAACTTTGGAGCACGACAGTGGCAAGCCTGGCGTCGATGGAGTCAGTTGGTTTTAGAGACTAGTTCGGGATGTACGTCAGGATTGTAGTGCCAGTCATTTCGAGTTGAAAGGAGGAATTACAAGATTAATAAAGGAAAGATTGTGTTTTTTGTAATTTTGGTGTGTCCATGACCGTACGTAGTCATTCGATGAAGTAGACATGGTTTTAATTTTTGTTTATAAGATATTTCAATTGCTAGATTAACCTAGAAGTTCACTTTGTATCCTCGAACATGAGGTGCAGGGCTACCGCCAGAACAGAGCCAAATAACACGTAATTTCACGACCAAAGTTTCACGACCATCGCGGGTTTTTTCACGACCAATCCAGCCTTATGGATTATAGTGTGTTTGGTCGTGATAATAACTTTAATATAATTGTAATTTGAACAGTTTAGTTCAATTGAAACACTTATTTTTATTATAACTAACAGTATAATTGAAGGATTTTTTAGAAAGATTTAGGTTATTTCAGAAAATTCACGACCGTACCGCTTGTCCCTGACCATCACGTTTATGATTTCTATCATAAAAATTTCAAAAATTAAAATATCGTCATATTTCAATGTTTTATACACAAAAGAAGCACACCTCTATACATACATAACGATTTTTCGGGTCTCAGGTAAGTTTTTCCGGAGTTATACAAACTTAAAAAGATTTTATTGGCTTTTTTTCAATTTTTTGAGATTTTTATTTTTTTCTAGAAAGACCAAATATACCAAAAGCTCAGTGACTTTTTTATTGTATAATGGTCATAAAAGTAAATTAGTTTATAGCAAAACATAGTTATAAAAATAATATTAACTATTTTTAATATTCATTTAAACGTCTGTTATGGTCGTGACAGGATTTTGTGTTTTTCCACTAAAGGTGCTCTTTTCTTAAAAAAATAGTACCAAAGACATTGCGTTACCATGGACATTTTATGAAACTTCAAATGTTAATGAAATAAAAATAATAATAAAAGTTTTGAAAAAAGGGGACAAAAATTTGCAAAGTGCTTTTCCTGAAAACGTACGTTTTTAAATTTTCACTCATTTATTTATTACTGTATATGAACGGCAAACACCATTTTACAGGAGTGTTGAGTTGACATTGATAACTTAATGTGTATAGCCTAGTGTGTATGTGTTAGTGTGTACATATAACCATAGATAAAAACATACTCCCTTAACTTAGTGTGGGCAATGATAGTGTGAAATACGATAGGTAGGCCTAACAACACTGTTTTGATGATTAAATACTACAGAGATTTACAGGACGTAAACAGCTATGTTGCTCGAAAAACAATAAGTATAAGTTAAATACGGTAGACAATTTAAACAACAAAAACAAATGTAGGCCTAAGTTAAATAACTTAGACTATTAACAACAAAAACTAGCCTAAGTACATAACAAACCATTTACAATAAGACAATGTAGACAACTTACAACAAAAAAATATAAGGTACATAATAGGACTAGGCCTATATAAAAATAAAACATTTAGGCCTAAGTTAAGGTCATTAATTTTACCCAATCAACAACTAAACATCAGTTTAGGTCTAACAGTCAGGTTTAATTGGGTTGTAGGGGAAACTTGTTAAATTGTTATTTGTTCTGATGATGCCTATTGCATTTCATGCCTAATGGAAAATAAAGCATTTAATTTAATCTCATTTCAACTATTTCCAAAATGTTGAATGTTTGCTGAGTGTCAGACTTTTGAAATAATTTGGCTAGTTTAAGGTGTGGATTAACTTAGTTTTTTGAAAAATGAACTAAATTAAGTTACGGTACACAACATACAACACAGAGGAATAAGTCAGGTCCAAATATACAAAAAATTCCAATCGAGAACATAGAATATAGACAATACATTTAATTTACTGCGTTAAGTTTAGCCTACTAGGCTATTTCCTCCAGAAATAGCCTCTGTTAAGTAAGGAAATATACTAACTTAGTTAAGTAAGTAGATTTAAAGAGGCTCTAGATCTAACTACTTAAAACTGCTAAAAACTAATGTTAGATTGGTAGTCGTTTCTTTCCTACCCAGTAACTTAGGCCTAATCCCTCATCTAGAAGTAGCAAAACAAGAATATGAGGATGTTCTTATCTTTAAAACTGTGGGATATCACATGATAAAAGTTGAATAATATACATTCAAAAGATAATATGCCAATATAATACATCCTGCATACCCTAACTTAAGTTTTGGAATCAGCCTCCGAGTCAAGTTGGTCCTCAATGGCTAGCAAGTCTCAAAAGGGTTTTAAGAGGTCAAACAAGTTGGTATTAAGAGAATGCCAAAGCTAAATAATTAGGTCGACAGAGAATTATGCACACTTACTGTCATTCGTGTTTCTTTCTTACTTTCACTAACTGTAGGCCTATTTTCCATTTTGACTAAATTAAAAATGCAATAAAAAAATGAAGACTTCTTTAAATAGCTAGCTTAAAAATTTCACACAATAAACTTGGGTAACAAATGAACATATAAAAACGAATATCAAAACTGTTAGTAATACTTAGACATATCTGCATTGTATTTAAATTATTATTATACAATTTAATAAAATGTGATATCAACTAACTTCAAGAAGATAAAGAGCACATTGTTGATTGTTGTCTAGTTCTGTGTGTGGTGGTGAGTTTGAGTTTTCTTTATGGCAGAGGATACACGTCCGGTAACCAGACGTGGATTAGACGTCCGGCAATTACTGTCATAACCTAACCTAACCAACCAAACTTGCTGATAGTGAAAAAATCGAATTAAGGTTCAATTCTTTCTCTATAAAAAAAAATTATAAATGCCAAAAATTCTAATAAAAGATGTACAGTTAAGAATAAATGGTATTCAATGCAAACTCTTCGACAAAAAGTTAAAGTCATCAATGGGATTCGAACCCTGGATCTCTTGCATATCAGCCGAGCACCTTATCCACTACACCACGACCACCGATGGCTGAACATTGTATTGTTGTGGTAAAGGCGTTCCAGGCTCCCGCAACCCCATGACGTCATTGCCGTACGCCTTATCCACGTCCGGTTACCGGACGCGTATCCTCTATGTTTCTTTATTCTTTTCTTGAGAAGGGAAAAGAAGAACATTGAATCGAATGAAGAAAACAGATATTGAGCTCATTAAGTTTGCTTTGCATTGATTATGTTATTCGTATAGATAACATATAAACATACCATTCTAATTCTTAGTGATAATAATTTCATGCTTATGAATATTACCACGTTACATTTACATACATAAAAATGCTGTACTTTCTTTTGAGGTTATATGCTACCGGTACTACCAGAGGTCAATCAAGACTCTACAAACATATTCATAGGGTCAAAAATATCCAAATAAATCCAGTTTAAAAAGTTTAAAGGCTGGTAAAGTAACAAGAAATACATAACAAATCGCCATCTAGACTAAACAGCCGTATACATATCAATCTTAACATTGTTTTTCAGCACTTGGAAATGAATAATATTAGTCTATGATAATAGCATTGACTATATACCTACAGGGAGGTATATGTATAGTCAATGATAATAGACTTTCACTAATCTATACGGAAGTATCTTATTATGTCTATTGTCTAATTTAGGCTATTTCATATGTGGTGTCATTTGCGATCTTGCAAATCTAAAACTCAAGTTTGAAGTGGGTGCAATATAGCGGACACTGAAAAACAATATTTTTATTCTGTATGCTTCATAGCGATGACAGTTTTGCTATCACTGGTGCAACAAGGGTATAGTTTAAACATTTCTAAAACAACAATTCTGGCAATGCAAAAATTGAATATGAGAAAGCGGCGTCCAAGCAATCAGGATTGAGACTGTGTGTTCAGGCTTGTTTGCTCGTTGCTGACTTAAGTAAGCAACAACCGGCTAATTGTGACCAGCGAGTTGTTGCTTCGTCTGAAAATATCTTCCTCCATGGGGACATATAATTTTGGAGCGAACTTTAACATACAGCTTCAAAGGGTTTAACCTATAATTATGAGAAAAGGGATGGATATCGGCAAATTTGGAAGAATTACGTGTTAAAGAAAACTGTATGTGGTTTATTTTGACAAAATATATGTTACTGACGTCCCTGTAGCGTTCTGAAGGGCCGATATAATAAACATATCAAATAAAACGTTTGAATAATTCTTTTTACACACTGCTTTATATATAATCTAATGCACGAGTGATATTGTATCTTCTTATATACCGTACGGCAATTAAGATATTATATTGTTTTGTAATAGTATTTCCGTTTTATTTGATGGTTATATTTTTTGCTATGAAAAAGGAAAATCCTATATTATCTTTATTTATAAAAAGCACGTAACCTATCCCCTAACCATCTTTTTAGCAAATTTCCCATAATTCCCTATATTTATAATTTATTACCGAAGGTCTCGTGGTAAGAGGATCTTGCATTTAATGTCGCCAAAGAGTTCCTTGACTGCGCTAAACCCTCAAAGGGCCCCAAAAATTGTCCTTAGTTGCGACCAAGTCCAAGCATGGTAGGGGTGTGTGTGTCGGCTCCGTGTTTAGCCCGGACGTGTTTGACGCGGACACCCTCAAAATGGTGTTTCACCCGGACGGACGCTTCAGAAATCCCCGCGCCACGGCTGGGTGGGTAATTCGTCGCTTTTCGCCCCCATTATATCGAGTAAGGACGCTCGGTGGCGTTTCCCTCCCAACACAGGGAATTATTACTGTACTATCGTAACCAGAACTGGTGGCCCGTAGCTAAAAGTGGTAGAAAATACTGTTTTTTTTATTTATTATTAATTCTATTCGGATTTCAAAAACTAAACGTTATTACTACCTGTATAATTGCAAGCACGGAATCTATAAATTACAATTACAAATATTAGTTTTAGCAATAACTTTTAAATATAACAATAAAATAAAGGACATTGAAAGTAAAGCCTTCAAATTTTAGTATTATATCAAATATTGCACATACTTATTAACAATGAACCTGAGCATATTCCATAACAATTAGAGAATGATTACTTAGGTGGCTATTTTAAAATCAAAATTTAAACTTCAATTTTAGTCCTGCCCCACGGATGGGGAACAAGACTGTTTCATGATTCTTAGCCTGAATTTTTTATACTGCTTTACTGCAGTACCGGATTTTTTAAATTAGGACAACTATATATTAATGACGTTAAGTCGATTCTTTGCGTCAAAATTGTGGGCAATTGGGAAGTTGTAGAACGACCGGAGAGGGCTCAAATTAAAGGTCTCGATCCCGTAACGGCGGGAAAAATGCCGGTAGTGAAATTCCAAAACGTTTTTGATCGTGATTTATCTTTAAGTCAGTATGCAAAATTACATTTGGATTACTCCATTTGCTAGTCAATTCTGCAACATACTGTATACTATATAAAATCAGGGTTAAGGTTACCTATATTAATTAAGACTTTTTAGGGTTATAGAATGTTGAAGTAAATTATTTTACTGTGAAACTTTTCAAATTTGTGTATTTTTAACGCATGAAATAACCTAGTTGACTAAATAATTAACGATTCAAGATGGAAAACTTCTGCTTTGTTTATATTTCAAAACACATGTTCTAGATTTATTCTACACCTTCTTTGTAAATTAACTAACATTTTAAATTTTCAGATTTATTGTATAATTTTTGTATATAATTGTATATAATAGGGCCTATAATTTTTATTTATTGTATATAATCAATATTTGGTATGAATTGAAATAACCTCAACGGCTACTCTTACAAAATAACCTGGGAATAAAGATGAAATAGGTTTGATCAGGAAATAAATTTCTTAACTAAGTGAGTACTATGACAAGTTCCAATAGGCGGAAAAACAATATTGTTTGGAGGAGATTTGAAACAGGTACTGTCTTTACTTTCCAAGCAAAAAAGGTTAAAATAATATAGCCTAGCAAGTATGGTACTGTATAGTAGTAAATGGAGCATCCACATATAACAGTAAAACCTAGATGTAGTTTCTGTTTCTTTACGTTTTTTAAACAAACCAAAAATATGCATGTAAATGCTGATGAAAAGTATTTTCGTAATTGGTTTCGATAACTGGGCAATGGAACCAGTCCAATCGCAAATGAGTTAGGAATCAGCTGATGATTAGACTTATTTTATGGTGGTGTCAAACTTTATGTGGTGGTGTCAAGTCAATCGCACCTTTACGAGGAATACCACCTAATATTCTTACACTAGGCTAATTATTGTAGTTTTTTATGTTGATCAGGTTAGGTTTGGCCAATGGGATACCTTTACTTCACACTAATGTTAAACCTTTTACAAAAGGGGTATAAACTATTATTTTGATTTAGCTGTTTTGGCCAAAAACTAAGCATAACTCAACACACCTTCTTTGCCTTTATTTGCCTTTTTCTATTTCACGAAGGCAATGTCTAACATTCAAATCAGGGAATCCTTTTTTATGCAAGTTAATCACGAAACTAAATCTACCTTAGTATGACAGTACCGTATTTATTCACAAACAAGTATATGTTTGCTGCCTTTAGCAGAGTGATTTACTTATGGAGTGATTCAAATAATCTATTGAAAATAACATCATCAAAAGCAAACAAAAACAAACAACAAACTGTTTCTACACAAAAGTAAAATAAATTAAAGTAATGTGTTCTCCAAGAATAGCATTAGCAGCCATTTTACAGCTGATTTTTGTTTACTTCAATACTGCTGATCGTGATTTATCACTAATCCAGTACGCAATATTATAATTTAGAGGATTGCGAATATAATTCAAATATACTCTTATTTGCCAGTATATTCGGCAATGTACTGTATACTGTATAAAACCAGAAATAATGTTATCTGCATAGACCCTTTTCGTTAGTCTAATAACATCCAAAGACTCTCTAAGAGTTCAAGTTCTTACTTGTATACTTATCTATTTTGAGATCGACCTATTATGTTTTCACTAATCTGAATGAATACATCGAAGTAACCTCTCTGAAACATCTGCAGTATATTGCAGTTTTCCAGCTTAATGACTTTCTAAATCATGCACATATTTCTACATAAATATTGTAAAATAAATGTTTTATCCAGTTGATGTAAACCACTATTAATTTAACAAATTATGGACACGGCTCAAATGGGTATACCGTGCCCTTCTGCACTTGTATTATTTTGTATTGTATTACACAATCGAAGATTTTTCCAATGATTTAAAGCATGTATGACAATAATCTCATGAACCTATAATGATCTGTCTAGAATAATATGATAAAATATAAGGAAAAAGTGTGAAAAAGGCAGACACCAACCCGTAAAATAGATATAAGATAGTTCAATAAGAAATAACTAGTAAACACGTTGCTCGAAATCGAGCAATTGCAAAGAAGTGAAGTAGTTATTTAAAACCAAAGAAAAGTCATCATAATTTCTGATGAGTTTTAATGTCTTTGAATTGAAAAATAAATAACTGCAGATAACTTATACAGCTGATCAAAATGTAAACAATAATGTTATTCATAAGGATAACATGGGAAATTTAACAGCCACTGGGGCAGAGCCCAAGGGACTTTTTTCAAAAATGTAAGGTCAGTTTGCAAATCTACGCGACACGCTCTTTTTAATGAGACGTCAACGGATATAATCGGCTAAAAAATGGCGGAGGAGTTCAACCGACAAAGTTTCGTGTAGCGTATTAAT